TAGCTACTCATTCTATTTGCCTACCTCTCATGCATTTTTTGGAAGTTTCTGGAATTTATTTTGTCACGCATACTGAGGTTAATGCATTGGAACGCTGCCCGATTTCCTTCAATTTTCTTAAGAAAACGGGACGGCAACTGTTCGGTGATATGGTAAAGCAGCAAGGTGTAAACTGTGTCGAGCCATCGTCAATGAAAAAATGATGAGCAAAGGTTACGTGAGACCGCGCGTCGTGGCAACCAAAAACTATGAACGCTAATTCACCAACACTTGCTAGAACGAGCAAACTGTTCCTTTAATCAGAAGAGTGTGTGCGTGTCAATATTTCTCGCCGACCTTTTGATTTAAAGCAAATGAATGTCCAATGCATTCGCTTAATAAAGGAGTAGATCTAATACTAGCAACGGAAATTCATGTCCACACTAGAAAAGAAATGTTCACGGGAATAAGCCTAACCCAGTCTCTTCTCAAGACTTTGAATATGAGTCACATCGCCCCGTACATAGGAAAAAAATCTGATGAATCCTAGACTTTATATTCCTCCTGAACTCCAAAAATATGTATGCAAATAATCGTTCGACGTGAATGACAAAAAGGGATTACTCACCAAGGTAGCAAACGCGATCGAGGCGCAAAATGGACGATTGCTAAAGAGCGTATTCCGATAAGGAGGTCCTTTCGAATAAACAACAACTAAAGTGATGTACTGGAATACGGATACGTAGAACACAGCCGTTCCCTGAAGCACCATTTCCAGATTAATTAGATATCAAATTGTTGAAAGATAAAGATAAATGGGCGCAATGAAAGATGTCGCACTGTTTGTGCGAACATTAATTGGTCATTCATTCTCAGCTCCTACGGAGAGCACTCTTATTGCCTAACAAATACCAAAACAAAAATATGGATATAAAAAATTCGTACCTGCATGCTTCTTTTGTCCTCAATTTCAGCACCCCGCGGTGGATTGTAAGGGACAAACCAGGGTTGCTTGGTTGTCAGTAAGAAAACGATCAGCTAAATAGACACACTGAGTGGTAGATTACTAGCAAATCAGCGAACAAGTTTGGATACCAACAAGTAGAATTAGAATTCACTGCTCTCTTTCTCTCTGTCTCTCTCTCTGCGTCCGAGAACCGTTTATGCTAAATTTTACAAATAGTGAAGAGAGGGGATCATTTTAAAAAATATACGCTTCTATTCTCTAATCGAAAAAAGAAGGTCCTGATTCTAGCGTGGAAATAGCTCATCAGGTAGATGGTACATAAGTGAGGCAACTTACTAAAGCAAACAATAGCAAGAAAAGGAGAATCACCTGCGTCCCGCCCATGATGGCCAGCTGGCCCAGCACACTGCAAATACTAGCAACCGACAGAAGACGTGTCGGAGGAGGAGTTGGACATAGTTTTTCGTAAGCTGACGTATTTCCAAACAAAACTGCTAGCAATGTGATGAGAAACATATCAATATACATGAACTGAAAAAGGAGAAAAAATGTGAAAAGCGCAGAAACCTCAAATTCCATCATACCTGCCCATCAGTGAGGATATTTGAGATGTAATAGAGAAGCATCACAGTAACAAATTGCGTCAGCGAATATCCAGCCATGTATTTGAAAATTCCAAAAGACGTCACCAAAGCAGCCCGTCCCTCACTAATAACTGTGGGTACACAACGTATATCCGCTACCTGAACGAAAGTATTTTCTTATGTGAAAGGAAATCTGAAAACTGAACCAACTTTTGAAGTAAATGGAGCCGCGATAGAAGCCTCCGCATCAGAAAGAGAAATTCCAGCATGTGCCGCCTAGAACAGCACGTATCACTCACTGCTCAAGTTATAAACAAACTGGTCAAAAAAACCTTTAGAGCTGCGCAATCGTTGGCACCGTCTCCACACATGGCAACAGTATAGCCAACTTCTTGGAGACCATTGACTAGCAGCTGTTTCTGATCAGGAGCCATTCGAGCAAATACATCGCATACACAAACCAACGAGGACAAAACATCGGGATACTCATGAGTCATAACGGCAAACGTTGGTCCTAGAAAATAAATCGCTCAAATAAACACTGAAATTTAGAACAGTTGCTCCTTGTTCTTCGTTGATTCGTATTTTCTTCGATTGCTTGATTTTGACTATGATTTTCTACGAATCAGCGTAGAAAATTGTTAGAGCAAATTATGACAGAGAGCGCACATTACGCCAAAAAGTGGACAAATATTTGAAATCCAAGACTTTCAAGTACACAGATGATCAGAAATATTCCTACGTATTACTAACAGAACACTGAAGAAATCCCGAATACAAGTATGTATACTTTCGATGATAGCTGCTCTGAATGAGTTTCCCAAGTTCGACATCCGCTTCAGTCTTCGAGAAAAGTGGATCATCCTCCAATATATCGCCAGAAGAGGAAACAGACTGAAACACAAGAATTTTTTGTTTTGGATTTGTTTGCAAAATATAGAACATCTAGTACTTGTTTGATAACTATTTTAGTTCTTCCACGTGAATCAACTTCTCCTGGACGATGTTCAATGAGAAATGCTCGTTTGTTTGGCCTTATTATTCCACATTCTCGAGCAACGCTCATCGCTGTTAGCAGGTTATCACCGGTTACCATCACAGTTCTGATGTGGGCGCTGAAAGGGATCTATGAAGAAACGAAGATAGTTATGGATAGTGGAAGAAAATATGCTAAAGTGCACAGAAAGGTTACGTCAAAATTTCAACACTCGTACCGGTTCAACTGATTTATTACTCCTAGAGTAACTGGCTTTATACGATTCTCCATTGCGACGACACCCAAGAGCTCTAGCATGCACTCCACCTTAAAACAATCATTGGCATTTTTTATATGTTCGTGATGACATAACAACTTAAAAGAACGAAATGTTGCAAAGCGGCAAGAAAGCAGACAGGCTATCGCGATGAAGCGCATCAACCACTCCTCTGAGCTAGAAAACCGTCCAAGCAGAGGTCCCAAGGCGAGGGAGAAGAGATTGGCGTTAACCGAATCCTTTTTGAAATGTGCACTGTTCTATCCAAATTAACGTCCTACTTGGACGCCGCCTCGCTCCTACAACTACATTCGTGGCTTACCAAAGTGCAAACCAGTGTTTTTATTTTTCAAAACGAGTCTCGTATCAATTAAATGACTAGTAAGACGGAATGGTTGATTGGCCCGAACAAGATTCGAACTGGGATTCAAACCACAGAGGGTGTGTGGTGCAAGGGCCCCACATGCCACAACACCGCTCCTCCGTCCCCACCCACCCCCCTCCTTCCCCGGTGTGGTTCACTAGGACAGAAAGCGACTTTTTCGCGTTTCGCAGCGCGAAACATTTTCGCTGCGGGAACCTCAGGTCCACCGCTGATCATGAGTGGACCTGAGGTTCCCGCAGCGAAAAATGTTTCGCGCTGCGAAACGCGAAAAAGTCGCTTCTGTCCTAGTGAACCACCCCTTTCCCACCCCCACCTCCGGAGGAGACTGTACATTGCTCAAGTTCACGCACAAATGGTCTTTCAAGACTCGGTGCTTCCTGAAGGTTTAGTTTTCTCATGCTTGTACTTTCGATAAAACCCCAAGTTTCAGAACTCGAACAGAGAAAATATCACGTGCCTTATCTCTTGGCACTTTAACAGCCTTGTTGAAGTTCAGATTGAGAGAACGTCGCGCAACAGCTATCAAGCGGAATCCATGCTGCGCGTATTCATTCACAACAGCCTACAACAGAATTGAAAAAATTAGGTGTAACTTACAAAAAGCCGAAGTACTGTAAGAAAAATGCAAAGCAAAAGCCTACGAAGTAATCTTGCGGAACTGTCGCAGGATCGCACAAAGAATGAACCATCTCTGGTGCTCCTTTGAAGAAAAGAGCCATCAATTCGA